TCTATCTCCTCTTCTTCTTTCTTTTCCTTCCTCTCTCTCTCTCTCTCATATATATATATATATATATACCTCCCCTGCGTACGCATCGTTTGTTGCTGTTGTTTTTCATCGTATTGTTGGTGTTCCTCCACCCTTCCGTGTAACTTTCCTTCTTTGTTTTTGTTTTCTTTATTTAAACAAAACCACAAATTACCATATTTTATCCCCAGCATATTTTTTATTCTTCGCTTTGCCATCCCCCTCCTTCGTTTATTCGATTTCTACACGGTGACGCCCGCCACGCCGTCCCTGCTACGCTCACTGGATGCCGTAGATGTGGTAGAGGCGTGTCCGGAGCTGCTCGCTGTACTGCGCCAGCTGCTGCCTCCACCGGGCGCTGGCGTGTCCCTGCGCCGCCTCCAGCAGATCATGCATTGCCCGCTTCACATCGCCGCTGCACGTCGCCAGTGAGACGGCGAGGTCAAAAAAGAGGTGCAGGCGCGAGACAACGATCGGTAGCTGTTGCCGCACGGCAATCAAAAAGCCACTTACCGCCTGCTCCTTGTGCGGCACATCCTTCACGTTGCGCATGTACGAGCAGAACGCCTTCGCAAAGAGGGAGACGTCGCATCCGGACTGCGCCTCCACCCCGTGGTCAGCGTAAAGCATAAGCCCAAGGCAGATGCACAGATTCTCCGCCATATTGCGCATCTCCGCCGTGTGCGGGACGGTGCCAAGAATGCGAGCGATCGCCGCAAACAACTGGGGAAGTCCGTTTGCGGCGTCCAACAAGGGCAAATTGTTGATATCCATTTGATTCTCCAATAAATTACACATACACCACGCCACATTGCTGATCACACCATATGTGCTTTCATCCAGAACTGCCAGGTTCTCCAACGCCGCCTTCACCACCTCCCTCAGTACCTCCTGCACGCTTACAGGGCAAACTCTAGCCAGGTCACCAAGAAGTGAAAATCCACTCTGTCGAATCTCCGGATTTTCGTCCCGGACAGTTTCCAGCACTGTGGCGACAAAGGGCGGTTGACACTGCAAGACAAGTGGCTCCAAACTAGAGCTGAGTGCATCAAACAGCCCAGACAAGAGATCCGCGGCAGTCACAAGGAATTCGTATTCTGGTGGGTCTTGATTCGTTCGTCGAGCCTCAGCGCGTGCCTGTACATGCATGACAAGTAGACGGTAGGAACGCCCAAAAATATTTTTAGCCAACGCCGGCTGCATCGCTTGCCCAAGTGCTCGGCAGACACTAGACATACACTTGAAGAAGGAGAAAAGGAGCGGACTATCGTCGGGGGTGCCGCTCCAAATCTCGCCGAGGGGTCCCATGAGCACCTCCACAGAGTCCGGTTGAATGCGCAGCTTCTCACCCATCGTCTCGCAGATGGTTTCCAGGGTTTCAAGCAGCAGCACACGGTTCTTAAGCTGATATCCGCTCAGACATCTTGCCACGCAGTTGATAATGAGCAGGATATCATTGTCAAGCTGACCCTCGCTGCAGAGAATCACCGTCTTCTGCAATGCCGCAGTGGCCCCCTCCTGCACAAGCTTTGAGGGACTCTGCATCTTCTGAACAACGCACTCCAAAAAACTCTGCAGTTTATCAGGCACGGAGACGATATACCTTCCAATCTGCGTCATTGTCCAAAGTGCGATGTTCCACACAAGGAAGTGCACGGAGGAGTCGCCAAGCAACTGAAGGAGCCGCACACTTATGTCTGGTAGATACGGTGTCATGGAGTCAAAGCAGCCATCCATGATGGCCCCCAAAGCCAAGATGGCGGCTTCCACCTCCTTCCAGTGATTGCTGGGTTGAATCATGCCATCAATCACGCTCAACACCGTAAAAATAATTCGCTCACCATAGTACTCTGCGATGGAGTCAAGCGTCAGGGCCGACACGCGTCTCAGATTCCATTCCTCAACCTCCCCATCGTCGTCCTCATTTTCGGCGTCTTCGTCATCAACGCCATTGGCACCCGTCTCATTGACGCGTGCCTGATAATGCCTTGGTCTAATGTCGTCAATCTTGTCAGGAACACTCCAGTCCTCGGCGCCAGCTTGCAACATGCTAACCTCCATATCCGAGTACACCATGGAACGAATCAGAACAGGGATGATGCTCTCCAACGTGGGCTCTACCAAGGAGGCAAACCTGGGAAAGCACAAAACGCCACGCCAAAACTCGGTTGCTTCAATGCGAAGCTCCTCATCCGCTCCGCCTGCGGAGGCAGTTACCATGGACATGAAGCTCGTTATTTTGTGAAACAACTCGTCCGAGATGAGGTCATGGTAGCCGAGCGAGAGAACAATGCATTTCACACACTTGGTGGACAGTTGGGTGGAGGACGAATTCTGCAGGTTTCCAAAGCAGGCATCAATAACCTGCAGTATATGTGGACGCATACTACTGTATGAAAAGCTACTATAATCAATGCCTGCCTGCTCAATCACCACGGAAACTGCATCGAAGGCCTTTAGCTGCACCTCCAGTCCCTCTCGCTTGTCCATCTGCGCTCTAAGATACGGGAGAACAGCACTCACAACCACGCCAGTGAGCTGACGCATGTCTAAGAGTTGCACAGTATCATCCACAATCTGTGACAATGCACGCATTGCGCCATGAACGGCGTTTAGTTCACCGGCGCGTGTGGAAAGAATAGCTGTGAGAGACTTGACAACAGGCTCCACGGGCCAATGGGTTTCCCTGACCGCCAAACTGATAATAGCACATGCCACAGCGCGTATACTGCACTCCGGGTCCACCACAGCATGCTCCATGACAGCGATCTGAAGTGCCATGTTCTGTAGACATGACGGATGCGACAGGTGATTTTTCAACAGATATCCAACAAGTTGTCGTCCTCGCGTCGGCACACTGGCGCTAATCAGCAGCTCTGCGCAGCTGGAAAAGAAGGCATCAGGGTTCTCCTTCAGCTGCATGAGCTGCACCTCTCCCCTATGACGGACGTCCGGGTTCGGATCCGCCGCTGCCGTAAGGGCGTCCAGGATGGCCTGCCCCACGTCGCTCATTCTTCCTGTGCAGATGCAACTATTTTTTTTGTTTTTTTTTTTGAAAAGCAACAGAAGAACAAATTAAAAATGCAAAAGCAAAAAAAAAGGTTTTTTTTTTTCTTGTTGCGCGTGGTTGTGTGCGTCGCAGTAGTGGTGGTGGCACGTCTGCGTGCCTGCAGATGCGCCGCTGCAAGAAGAAGGCGGTAAGGGAAGCGACTCCCCGCACTCGAATCCCACACAGCGAGGGTGGCAGGGTAACACCGTAGAAAGGCAGCAGCACAACGGTAGTCTCCCGTCGTGTGTAAGAGGCGTGTGGCGACGCTGAGGTGGCGGAGTGAAGAGACCGAATCGGCAACAGCACTAACGCCTTTCAAGAAGAGCCTCGCACCTCGCTTTCCTCCACTTGACTCTTCCCCATTGCTTGCACTCCCGCACATCTCTTTCTCCTCCTCCTGCTCGTGTTTCCCAGAGGGACTGCTGCCGTTGTGGGTCGGCACCAATCGCCGGGAGGCCAAAAAAGGAAAAAAGAGGAAATCCGTCCCTCACAGTGACAAAGGAACAGAAACGGTGCGGGGATCCAAAGGGAAAACGGAGAAGAGGGACAATTCAACATTTTACCCCGTCACTACTGCCAGCGTCACTGTTTCCGTCGCCGCAAGAGTTATCGTCTGCGTCCCAATTCGCGTCCACGCAGATACGATAAGCTGCGCTAAACTTCCCTTGCAGGTACACGTTGTTGTTATTCTTCGCAATGGCAAATAAATGCTTAAATCGCTGTGTTGCCTCCGCGCGGTCTTTTTCTCCCTGGAGCGGAACGTGGAGACTGGCGTTCATCCCGAGAATATGAAGCGCCTCCGAGGAGGACATCAAGCTCCCGCCGCCGTCGCCGTTTGTGCCTGCGGCACCCGCCTCCTCCCACAGCTTCTGCGCCTCACGGTTGTGGGCAACCACGAAGGCCTGAAACAGCAGCAAACCACCACTAACAAGTAGACGGAGCAACTGCGGGGGAATGTGCAGCACACGCGTTGGGCGCAAGGCTGCCGGTTGCACGCAGCGGATAGGTACCGTTGGGCGGAAGAGCCTAACAGCGCGCCGCATCGCTCCTCCATATTCGTCCCAACGCATACACAGCCACAGAAGAGAGAAAAGAATGGGAGAATGAGAGACAAAAAAGGTCAAAGCAAAAGAAAAGTGAGGAAAAAGAGTCCGCACACAACGTGGAACAGAAGAACCCGAACGAACCAAAAGATGAAACAAAATACAACAGTACACACATCTCATAGCAAAATGAAGGCAGCAGCAAAAGACCAGGGAAAAACAAAAAAGTTTTTCACACAATTTCGGCCACGAGACGATTTCGTTGGTGTTTTCGCACATTCTTCCACTCCTCAAATTCGGCCTCACTCATTTGTAGCAGGGGGCCTGTCAATGATTTCCTCATACGGACGGGGTCGTAATTGGGGCTCGAGAGAGAGCGGTGAGTCTCCGAGTACAAGCCCCGGATGTGATCAATGCTCGTTTCTGTCATTTTGTACACAGTAGGCGAGGCACGGGCCTTTTTCAGAGCCGCGTCCCGCGTTCCGATGTAGCGTCGCTCCGCCCTCACCAGCCTGTGGGTAATGTAGCGATAAATTTCATGTAAAAGTGGCAACGTCCGGCGCTGCGGCAAGGGCACCTCGCGGATGAACTTTACAAAGCGCTCCTCCCAGTACCCGAGTTCCTCGATGGCGTCTATGAATTCCCCGCAGGGGTCAAAGCCCTCTCGTGGACCAAACATCTTCGTCTCCCATGCCCTGAGTTGTGCACCACCATTCTTTACCCGGTCCTCCTCCATCCGCCGTCGCGTCCAAACTGGGTTCTCCGCCGTGATGGCGCGTGCCGGCCACGGGTCCTCTCCGACAATGCCTTCCAACGGGACCAAGCGGTTAAGACCCAAATCGGGTGGAAAAGGAACATACTTTGCTGCATGGTCCTTTGCGCTGGGAGGTTTATGGCCGTACTCCTCTTCATACATGCGCTCCTGCGTCCGCTTGTAGACAAAGCCGGCGTCCGGCTTGTGGCCCATGTTCCGAAGTTTCAGCGCGTCATGCAGAACGTCTCCAAATATGGAGTCTACGGTCCTTTTGCGGCGGTTCCTGCGGCGGTTCACTGTGGACTCAACCGGATCAATGTCGGGTGGCAGGGTATTGTCCTTCGTTGTTTGCTTCTCCTGCAGCGTGGCCCCAACGGCCTTAAACGGGTCCTCTGCGCCCAGCGCATCGTCGTCGGAGTGCCCCGGTTTGCTCGACGACGACGAAAGAAAGGCGCGAGAAGACAAATTGGAAAAATTAAAAAACAGCAGAGGCAGACGGACCCCACAGCCAAGAGCGGCCAACCGGTGCATCGCCGCTTCACTCTTTCAAGACTGCACGACAGAGGAAGAACAAGAAGAACGAGAGTGGCAATGACGCAAGAACAACCACAGGCATGCACACAAGACCCCGTTTGCCCCCGCATTCTTCCGCCCATCGCCTCACCGTGGCAGCATTGGCGGCGCCTTTTGCATCACTGTACATGCGCTTTCGCATGCGCAAATGTTTTATGCCACCCAAAACAGGATAATCTCGCCACCCATTTTTTTTTTTCTTTCTTTCTTCTGCATTTCGTAACCCCCGTTAAAAAGAACAGCAAATAGCAATCATCGCGTTATATGGTGCCCTCATCTCCTCCTCTCTGTATGTAGCCAACCCAATAAATAAATAAATAAATATGGACCCTCCCCCGTATCCATGATGTCAGGCAGTTCCTTTTCCCAAGGCCTCATGAGCATTTGCCCAGCGTCTCGCAATCGCCCCATCAACGGCACATAACGCGGCGTCCAGAAAGAACAAATGTGCCTCAAGCCCTCGCACAACACGCCGAGACTGTTCCACTTCTATCGACTGAAGTCCCTTCAGCGCAGCCAGTGGCATGGAACTTATTGCAGCGATAGGTGCCGAGGCGTGAGCAAAAAGAAACGCAAGGTGTCTGAGCCACCTTACCCCACGACTGTTCGTATCCTCTTCTGTTAAACTAGCGGCCGCACGCTTCACTACCGCCCGTGCCGCATCCGCGGCTCGAAGAGCGGTGGGGGTTGCACGGCACGCAACATTGCCGCCCATGTTGCTTTCACCGTTTCTGTTGAGGCTGGAGATACAGCAGCGCCCCGTACTCGTGGATTCATTTGCCGCGAAATGACCCACGCGTGTCATCATCTCACCCAGAGCATCGTGAAGGGGACTGCCTTGGCTATTTGCACCCCCGTCAAGCCCACAGGCAACGTTGAGAAACACATCGCCCAGAATCTTCAATGGGGCCTTCGGAGGAGTTGCGAAGCGACCACCATCTCGTTCACCTAAAGATTCATCGACGTCATGGGCGCATGCAACAGCCCCAACTGCTGACAGTTTGGTGACAGCAGCGGAGGCGATATATGCCGCAACGGAGGCCTCCAAAATATCTCTAAGTGGCCCTCGAGGAAGTTGACAATCCAAACCACACTCACCGCCCGTCACGAGAGAAATATGCTCTGTCGACGATGCATTGAGAGTCGTCAACAACTCAGCTACGTCCGCCAGTTCCACCATGTCTTCAGGTGGTTCTAGAAGTGTTGTTTCGGCCACACATGGTGCCTCCAACAGCCGTTCCCCGTCCCCCGTAAGCAGGAAAGGTGTAGAGCTGCGCGACGCAGCTGACAAGCATCTTCTTTGCATCATCTCTAGAAACGGAGTCTCTGCAAATTCCTTGGAGACTTCAACCTCGGGTCCGCCATTCCGGGTTTGATGGCGCGCCAGGTCGGAGGACAAAAGTGAGCGACCACCGCGACCCTTGTGCATCTCCTTCCACCCCTTCAAGAGTTTTGCAACTCTTCCTGTTGGTGCAGCGGCAGGCAAATGTGAGGAATCCGGCTCGGTTGCACCCCTAACAGACACACCACATGCATGCGGAAAATGAGCAAAGTAAACCTCCTCCACCATGTTGAGTTGCCCCAAGAGGGTCCTTACGACGCGCTCTTGAGACGGCATAGACACGGCACCGCGGATTGCATCCACGAAGCGCATATCAACCTTCCGCTTCGCCTCCTCAAAAGCTTGCATGGAGGCACCAACGTCAAGCCTTGCTGTGGGAATCATGTCTAGAAAAGCCTCCTCGTGTTCTGAACGATGACGCTTTGACGGGGGCTCACTGTCCGCACCGCTGGCAAAAAATAATTGTTCGCTGATGCCTTGCAACAGTTTGCCCAGCACATCCGATCCCCAGCCCTCCGCTTTTGTCGGCTCGAACGGCCAAGCAAAATCCTCTGGGACGCACCACTCCAAAAAAAAGAGGGAGTGAGTGATAAAATCACTCGAAATGAGAGTGGCATCGCACCAATCACATGACACACCACGTGGCTGGGGACGTGCCATAGGCCAACTCCATTCCTTCCCTTCAGTAGCTAATGATTTCGTAGAAGAACCTGGTGCAATCTGTCGCAGACGCTCTAACGGCACGCTGAAAGTGGTGCCTGGTGGAAATCCACACACTCGCACCAAAAGGTCCTTTTCACTTCCATCCACAATATCTGCCGATGCACGAACAAGCAAGGGAAGCATACTCCCTGGCTCCATTTGCAATGCCGTCTCTGTAGGAGACAGCACAATCATAATTAGCGTAGGATGTACTGAAAAGAATGTCCCTTTATGTATTCGCAATTCTTTCGTGTTGTCCTTCCACCATTGATGAGCCTCAGTAAAAAAAGTAATGGCCGCTGTGTAAATGTGGTCCAGGTTGAGAAGGTAGCGTCCGCGTTCCAAGACCGAGGGGTTAGGCTGCCGCTGCAAATAGACAGTGGCCGTTGCCCCCGCGGGATCCAAGGACAAGGTGCGCATGGAGACGTGTGGATTTCCTTGACACGAAGCAAACTCTTGTTGGAAGGCCTTGAAGAGCCGTTCCTCGGAGGGGAACGGCGACAAGCCCTCTGCCTGTCTCTGTGTCGCTCGCCTTTCGCTGACGGACGCGTCACATGCGCTGGGCGCGAGGGTCAACGCCTCAGCCAGGGCCTGTGTGACGAAGAGCATCATCCCACACATTGGAGGGGGACCTAGCGCCACGTCCGCCTGTCCTTTTCCCCTACTACCCACCGGCATGGAGCTGCCCTTCCCTGCTCCCTCTCCCCTCTCTGCCCCACATTGACAAGCAGGCGAAGAAGCAACACGAACGACAATATTATCATCATTGTTTTTTTTTTTGTAATGGGGGGTAACAAAAAGAACCAGCCCCAACGAGGTGTACTTCCAACCATGCATGTGACCCGCAAGTTTGCAGCATGGTAAAAGCAACACAACAACAAAAAATAACAACAACAGTG